AGGAAGGTAGTGTTCCCTTGCTATCATATTTACCCATCTTCCCGTCTGACCAATACAACCCTGCCGCAGGACATGGGAATCTGGTACACAAACCCGCTTGTACATGCGACGGCACATTGAACTGCAGGGCATCCCGCCCAACTCACAGAGGCACAAAAGCGGAACAGCTTAGGTGGCGCCGATAAAGCAAGAGGCACATCAAACTTATTGGCAACGTGCTTGATTGCATGGGATAAGGCATGGACATACAGCAGTACAACAGTACAACAGGGCTGGTGGTTGACCTCATGTACACTTTTACGTCAAAAAGCTCAGCAACGCCCTCAAGAATTTCTTACGGGAAGCCCGGGAAAGCGAGCTTTTAACCTGTGTCACAGAACTTATGCAGCACCTATGGTGACAATGATTTAGAAGAGACACCGGAAGGCGAGGGCCGGCATTGGAACTTTTCATCATATAAAAAAATTGTGCATTTCACAAGAATAAATGCAAAAGAGAATTGGCGACAAGGGTCATCGTCGGGTTATTCCTTAAGGCGTCTCTGGTGAAGACGTGTCACCATAGGTGCGGTTTAAGTTTTTCGACTGAGGTTAAAATGCCTGCGTCTGCGGGCTTCGCCTCGGTCGTCTTTAGGGGCGTTCCTGATCTCCTTGTGAAAATGTATAAGGGGTATACTAGACCTAGTAAAAACAAAGACCGACCTCCTTGTACCCCCCATGCCTTGTCCCACTGAATCAAGCACGTTGCCAGTAGGTTTACGTGCCTATCCTGTTCTCGGCGCTGTCTAAGCTATTCTGCCGTTGTGCCTGTGTGAGTAGAGCAGAAGGCCTTGCTTTTTACTTTGCCGTTGCATGTGCAAACGGGGTTCTGTACCAGATCTCCCTGTTTTCCGGCAGGGTGTGCAGTTCATTGTAGTTAAAGGTCCTAGATAAGAGGTTTCTACAAAAAAGCGACATTCTTTGAAGCGACGACTGCGTTATGGTGCAGATAATAGGAAGGAAACGTGGCGCAAAGCAGTAGAGTGAACAAAACGACGCAATTTTGTTCTTACGGTATGTGCTTCGTCCTTATTATTGGTTCTCGTTACTTATGTGTATGTGCCGCTACTTACGGTATGTGCTTCGTCCTTATTATTTGTTGTCGTTACTTATAAAAAGAAGCAACAAGGAAATTTAATTGTAGTATTCGCGGCTGCTCGCCGACGTTCCATGACAATAAGATTTTGTCTCGACAGAAAAACCAAACCTCGGGAGAGATACATGAAGCATATTTTATGGCGACTCATGGAACGGACTCGTGTGTTGGCGCTCCATTTCTTGCACTTGTAGGGAACGAGGTAGGTTTCATTAAAATGTGTGGCAGGTTATTGTCTCTGTGTGTTGACATGGCTGATTCCGGTTGTTATCGGTTCGCTTTCTTTTTGTTCTCTTGCCTTTCCCCTTTTCGTTTTTAGGGGCGAAGCTCCTTGGGGTCTAGTCTTGTTTGCCCGTCCGTCCGTCCGGCGTTCGGGCTCACAAAAAGTAAGAAAAAAAATGTTTCCGCAGTTGACAGGATTCGAACCTGAGCGGACAGACCCCAATGGATTTCTAGTCAATCGCCTCAACCACTCGCCCACGACTGCGGGACGAGTAGGGGGCTCTGAGATCTGGTAGTAACCAAAGAGCTGGGGATGTCATGGATGAAACGTTGCATGCAGCCGCTCAACGTCTATAGAGGCGAGGGCACTGCGGTCCAATGCGTATATAATCGCGTTAAACTTTGCATGCATGGCTCTGCATTTCACCGACCATAAAGCAGTAATAATGAAGTCGAAACGAAACCCGGAACTCAGCACTACCTATGAGCAATAAAAAAAAACATCATTATCAGCGCTACCTATGAACAATAAAATCAGTATTATCAGCAGCACCAGAGATTCGCCCCAATCATTATCATTCACTATGTGGAGATGCGGTCATTTGTTGTTGTTGTTTTTTGGTAAGAAATAAATTTTCATTTCTATGTCAGTGCCCTGTTTGTGTGTTTCTTTGCCCTGGTCCTACGTCTTTTAGTGCTGTTCCCACCAAACATGTATGCACCACCAACTTGCAGAACAACACATTTTTTCCCCTTCCCTCTCCCAGGTTATGCGAGAAGTTAATTTTTCTGTCAAGTTAGAGGATTTTGCACGAAGAATGCATGTCTTGACTGCGCCCCTCTTTCGTTGTGAATGCTTCTTTCTATGGTTTTAGGGGTAGATGAAATTAGACAGCCAAATAGTTGTACCTGTTTTTTTAAGTTATTGCTTAATCGTAGAGATAAAAATAAATGTTTTATTTTTAAAAGTTATTTAGTAACTTGCGTGAAGATTATATTTTTGTGAACGATATTCAGTTGCCTGAGGCAATTCACAGTAAACTCAAAGCACTTATTTGATATAAATATTTTAACCGCCAACATACACCACTTGTGCTGAAGTTGGTTTTTGACACCCACCTTTAGGGAACGTTTTGTCCGGGTTCCTTGTTATCATACACGATTGCATGTTGGAAAACAATATCTTGAGTTCGCGGTCTGGTTTAAAATATGTTTCTGTTCAAAAGTGAATGAAATACTGTAACAGAAATGTACACGACCGAGGTAAAAGCATTTTAGAAAAAGAAAAGTTATTGCGAACAACTTGAGTAGCACGCAATATGTCATGTTTTTGCTGTGGTAATCATTGCTGCATTTAAAGCATGCCGGCTATCCGCAAGTTTCTATCTTGAAACGCACGTATACTTTCACGGTTAGTGCGAAACCTCATAATGCATACCGTCCCTATTGGAAAAACCGGTTTGAAAGTGTAGCTGGTCAGACTGGTATTCGTACAGGTCAAACTGGTATTTGGACTGGTCAAACTGGTATTTGGACTGGTCATACTGGTCTAACAGGAAATCAAACTAGCGGAACTGGTAGCCAGACTGGTCTAACTGGTCACCAGATTGGCCGAACTGGTCACCAGATTGGCCGAACTGGTCAGCGGATTGGCCGAACTGGTCAGCGGATTGGCCGAACTGGTCACCAGACGTCGAACTGGTTACCAGACACCGAACTCGTCACCAGACTGGCCGAACTGGTCGAACTGGTAACCAGACTGACCCTACTCGTTACCAGTTTGACCGCTCTTTCTCACTTTATTTATTGGCTTTCTCACTTTGATTTATTGGCTTTCAAATAATTACGGCATGATCGAGCGTTTACTTTTTACTAAGAGATTAATCTCCTGAGCTGTTTAAAATACTCTCAGAGGTATGACATTGCTGGGAAAAAATAAAAATGCTGAGAATATTGTTTATTGCTTAGGCGGTCACCGAGAAATTGTGTACGTTCAAAACGACCAGTATAAAAGACGGAAACGCAGAGCTCGGTGGTACTGATCAGGTTAGTGTGCTGTTGTATTGATGTTTGTATGTGCCGTGGATGTGTATGTGCTCAATGGATGTTCAGCTGATGCTTGTAGTAGGCGCATTGTGTCTATATTTGTGTATAATAAAGATTTCCGAAGCGCAGTGGTGGCGTGAACAAATGACAATATTTTTGTCGAGCCAGTGTGACCAGTTCAACCGCCATGACCAGTTCAACCATCATGACTCGCCAACCAGTATGACCAGTTCAACCGCCATGACCAGTCAACCAGTGTGAATAGTTCGAACCACCTTCACCAGTTAAACCATTATGAAACTGGTCAAATTGGAGCAATTACCAAGTTTGTAACTGGTACCAGCTTGAACTGGTCTTTCCAATAGGGGTATTAAAATGGTATCTGTTGGCGCAGCTATAAATTCACTGAGGTAAGAGGAAGCCGGCACGTATCCGACTGAATAATATTCATATAACATGCAGGGTATTACTACGACCCACTTCCTAAAACAGATCAGGCGAGTGCTAAGAAACGAGGCAACACTTTGTCAAGTTATAACAAAACAGAAAAGAACCAACGCTACTCAAATAACAATAGTTCGAATTGCAGATCTCAAAATTGTTCTAAAATATCAGGGGTTCACCCCAATGTTGCGTCGACATAACTATAAAATACTACCCATTAGCCTACAGGATCAGGGAACAAGCGGTGCAAACTGAATTTATAGGTCGAAACCCACCCTGTCGTAAAAAAAACACTTTGAGGACGCTTAAACTTTGGCTTTAAAGTGCCCCTGAAAAATAAAAGCCTTTTTAACAGTCTGGTCGGAACACTCGTATAAAAAAAAACTAATTTTCCGCGAAAAAAATAAATAGAGCAATATTGATAGCACGAGATTTATTTTAAATTCTACGCGCAAAGCTCATGACGTCGCGGGAAGGTAAGACACTCTTTCCACCTCAACTAGATGGTCATACACACTCTACACCTCAACGTGAAGTCGAAGCTTAGCCAGCTCTCCTCCACGCGCCCGAAATGCCCAGAGAGAAAACAAGTGGACAGTGGGTGACCACCGAATAAATTGCGTCTCGCGCAGTCAATATTGCTATAAGTTTTTTTCTTTGGCGTAAACCTCATTTTTTGACGCGCTCAGACTAACCAGATTGTTTAAGTTCTTTTTTTCTTTTCTGTTCAGGGACCCTTTAGAGTGGAACGCGACAACGTTATCAGGTCCCGTTCGCATCGCCTTTCAATCGCCGTGCAAGCGCGCCTTGCGTGGCCTAGACAGCAGCGTTTGTGGCTCACTTCCGAAGGATCGTGGGTTCGAACCCCGCCTAAAATTCTTGATATCTTTCGTTAAGGCAAATGAACTATTTTATAAAGTCAAGACATTTGAGACTTGCATTACATGTCATTCTTATTATTAGCTTTCATTCCACGCGTGACGTCACGTTTCACTTGAGTATTGTGGGTTGTTGGGAATACTGGCGCGAGATCATGTTGCTGTGACGTTATGAACCTATCGATCAATCAATATGTTCGCGTCCCGCCACCAGCGCCAGAGTTTCTGCCACGCCACGAAGCCTGGCGTGTCTGCGACACGAGCTTCTTAACGCTATCACGTTAATACAATGTACGTTATTCCTTTCGTCATTGCTTCCGGAATAAAAAAAAATTAATGCTTGATAGGAAAAACGTTAGCTCACCTGGTCGAGTACCCATGAGAATTATGTTCTTAGTCACACTTTTTACGTAGAGCGGTTGGCTAAATCTGCAAAGTAAATACGTTGAAACTCCGATCGTGTTTAGATATATTTTTCTATGCTATAAATATGATTAGTACTCACAAGCTCTTTGGGTACTTAAATATTAATTCATATTTTCTGTAAGTCTGACCTCTTAGGGTAGCGTTGTAGAAATGCTGATAACCGCATATTAAATCAGTATACTTTCCAAGTGACTGAAGCATGAATGTTTCAGGTAGTTTCTCCATAACCTGTAAATGTATTTAAATATTTGAACAGTGCGAAAGCACCATAATTTAAAGCCTAAACAAACAGAAATATAAAAATAAATATGTTTATTTTTAAAATAAGTAGCAAAAAAAGAAAACTTCACAAAGAACATGTTCCGCAGCAATATTTTTTTGTTTAAGCTTCATTTTTTTTACGTTTGTAGCATAATTTGAAAAAAAAAATTCAGAATGGTTAGTTAAGGTTTATTTTGGATAAGAAATATCGGCGTTTTGAGGTAAATTAAAAAAAAACGGGTGAAACTCTGCCAAATAAAGTAGGCCGACAGCTCTCGAAGCAAAGCGCAGGAAAACATCTGGAGTTTTCACCAGAGTAATATAATTAAAACAAAATAACCGTAATAATATAAGCGTAATGTTAATTGGTACCTATATGGAATTACCTTTTCTGTGACAGAATGACTGCCAAGGAAAAAAAATAATCTAAATTCAGGCAGCACAGCTCATAGCATGGGTTACGAGCGGTGTGCGCAAAAAGAAGCTCAAGACGACACCATGACACATTACTTCACTTTCCTCTCTATTTGTTCTGCTTATCATTCCAGCGTGCTGGCTGTTGTAGCAGATGGATGACGGATAAGGATCGGAGGACGTAAAGCTGGGATGTCTCTGTCTGGCTCGCTGAGTGCTTCAGAAGCAGCCGGGGCAGCTTCATTTCACTAATTTTTTTCATTTGTTATGTCTCTCAAGGCGCGAAGGCATTACAGAGAGGAATGGGGCACAGTGAATGAAACAAAGCAAGACACAATGAAAAGACAAAAAATACACAAAATAACTACTAAATATCATTTAACACGTTAGTAATGACACAGTTCATGGAATAAAACAAATAACAATGAAAAGGCAAAAAATACCAAAAACTACTACTAGACATCATTTAACAGGTTAGTAATGGCAATCTTAAATTTATCTGAGGCAGTGATTGTGACAATGGCTGCGGGAAGGCGGTTCCAGTCAATTGAGGTTTGAGGCGAAAAAAGAGGCATTAAAGGTAGATGTGCTGTAATGACGGATACCAAATTTTAATTAATGATCGGTGCGTGATGATATATAAAACGGTTAGAAAATAGTGCTTGGCGGATAGTAGCCTTAGAGTGATATATCTCATGGAACAAGAATAGCATGTTTCGACGAAGAGAAAGAGTGGGCGAGGATAGAGATGCTGTCATTAAAGTGGTGCTAGCTGTGCGATGACAGAACGTATAAAACGGGCGGAGCGGTCTTGAATGGATTCTACGGCAGATGCAAGGGTGATACCCTTGCATCTGCCGGTTCCAGGTTCAGGGTTCCAGGCGAATTACAGTTTTATAAATTAGGAGCTTTAATGAAATAGGGGCAAGGAAAAAGTTTCTTTTGATGCATCCTAATAATTAATTAGCTTTTTTCGTGACATAGCCGACATGAATATTCCAGGACAGATCATTTGAAATGTGAACACCGAGGTATTCATAGGAAGATGCAGGAAGCAGGGTAGAGTTATTGATGGAGTAGGAAGGGCAAATGTTAATTTCACGAGAGACACACATGGATTTACATTTAGAGATACTTCCATAAGCCAGTCGTTGCACCATTGGGTTACATTGTTAATATCGGCCGGAAGAGCAGAGATGTCGGAGTCGTTAAGGATGCTTTGGTAAATAACACGGTCGTCAGCAAAAATGGCTAATAGAAGAGGAGACATCGGTAGGGAGATCATTAATATAAATAAGAAATAGTGGTGGCCGAGTACAGAACCTTGTGGGACACCGGGGTTGACAGGCGAGTACGGAGAATTAGTTTCCTTGGCGTGGACAAACTGAAAACGGTTAGTCTGAAAGGCGTCTATCCAAGCGAGAATGTATGGGCAGATCTCAAGGCTACTAAGTTTATGGATAAGAATGGCTTGAGGAATTTGTCAAAAGCTTTGGAAAAATCAAGGAATATGCCGTCAGTTATGAAACCCTGGTCAAGTGTGACATGGTGATTATGAGTAAAGGTAAGAAGTTGGGTTTCGCATGAGTGAAACTTCCGAAAAGCATGTTGTGATGTGTTAAGGAAAGAGTCAGAATCCAGAAAGTTTGCAAGTTGAGAGTAAATTGGGTGTTCAAGGATTTTGCATGCTATACTTGTTATGGAAATGGGATGGTAGTTAGATCGATTATGTTTATCGCCACCTTTGTATATACGAACCACCTTCCCCACCTTTTAATCCAATGGCAAGACACCATGTTGAGGTGAGTGAGAAAAAATCTTGGACAGGATAATGCTAGAATACATTTTAGTGCTTCTCAAACATTTTGTGTTAATGTTATCTGTACCTACCGCAGAAGACATTTTTAGGTTATCAATAATCTTAGTGATTCATTCACTGTCTACAACAACAGGATACATAGGCATAAAACCACAGGCAGTAAATACAGGGAAGCAAGAAATAACTGGAATAGAGAGAGATTTAGTAAACACTTCATTTAAAACGAAACAACACTGATCATTGGATAATTCATCCCCGTCTTCATGCCTACGCGTTATAGTGTAAGAGAAAGAGGGATTAATAACCTTCCAAAATTGATGCGGGTTAACAACAAGGAGGGCAACGTATGATTAAAATAATGCGATTTCGCATCTGGAAGTTTTTTTTTTATATACACACCAGCTGCAGGACGGTACGCCGACCATCGCTGTTCGTTGTCTGATAGATTTGCAGCACGAAATAGTTTTTTCTTGTTTGCTAGCCTTTTTAAAAACACGTCATACCAAGCCGATTCAGGACAGGGCGAGATAGTGCGAAGTGGCACGTGCGCTTTCATGAGGTACGCAACTTGTTATTTAAATAAACACCAGTTATTCTCAACTGAGCGCTCATCAAAACAATCCACGTAAAAATCAAGAAAAAGGCAAAGGTTCATATTAATGAAATCAAAATCAGCTCGTACATAATCAGAAATTCGCTTAATTACTTTCGACCTAAAGCATGTAGGTAGATCTAAGGAGAAATGCAATGAGGAATGATCACTAAGACTTGGCAAATGAGTTAACGAAGAGGTGAGGTCAGGCGATGTTTCTAAGATGAGGTCTAAAACAGAACAGGTTGAAGCAGCAATACGCGTAGGTTGCTTAACCATTTGCGACAAATAAGAATCAATACACAAGTGTGCGAATTCCTTGCACTCAGACGAGAATAAGATGAGTAGAAACACTTCACCAAACTATGGAAGAATAATTAAAATCGCCCAAAATAATGACTGGAGCATTTGGAAAGCGAACAGTGACTTTCAGCCGTCATGACGGTATATGTAAATATATTTCTGACAATTTAAAATCTCCCTGTTGCGTATCTTGCCGGATAACCAGGTCTCAGTAACAACAACAACGTCAGCATTAGAAGAATCACTGATAGAAGATAAGTCATCGTTATTCTTCATGACGCTTCTAATGTTATTAATGTTACAGCCTTCCGCGACATTATGTGGGTGCGATTTCTTTTTTTATTTATCGGTCAACTACTTTGTTATGTGGGTTTAGAAGGTGTCTCATTCGTAACACATGGGGAAGTCCATATCAACACAACTTCCCAAGATGCAAATGCGAGAGGATTCCGCGACATTATAAATCAACATGCTTGTGTTCACTTGATCACGTTACCCACAAGAGTGACCAGGCTGCCCGCGTGCTAAGTCGTCGTGAGCATTGTGCACTGCGAAAGGGCCAAGTGTAGTCGTCCACGCGAGCGGAGCTCCGCCGCTGCTAAAGGGCCGTCGCAGTCTATGGACTGGGATTTCGGGTCGTGGCACGTAGCCACAGAAGTTGTTATTGTTGTTGTTAGTGATGAGGAGGTCGGAGAGCGAAGGAGGGTCAATCGTGTACTGACAATAAATGAGTACGTGTTAACGAACCAGTGCTTCGTGTCACTCTCCGAGACAAGTGGCCACGAGGGAAATCTTAAAAACGCATCGTCGGGGTGATAAGGCTGCGATGAATTTTGCGCCAAGCTGTGACGTTAGGGGACTTCATCTTCAATGTGAACTTACGGACGTCATACAATTGTATATATGGACCCTTATGTACGAGGGCCCCAGCTATTAATAAACTTTGTTCATCACGTCGCTGGAAACGGGTTTTATGTATGGTATTTTCTTACCTGGTTGGCATCAGGATTATCCCCTCCTGTCTTTTGAGATAAAGTGGCATGGCTGTGAAAAAAGCACAGTATTCCCAAGAAGAAGAGAGCAGTCATTGTCTCTCGAGGTTTACACATGTATATGCACGCAGGCAAGGTATGTATCTGGAAATAACGTGAAGTATTTATAGCAATGCGATGAGCTAAGTCCCTGGGGCAATGCCCAATTTTTTTTATTTTGTTGGTGAAGAAAAACTTGTCATCCAGCTGCTAAAGCGCGATACAAAAATTTCAAGTATAAAAATATTATTTTCACACGTCCTTCTGCGTGCACTAACGTAATTTTCTTTAGAAGTGCGTATAAAATATCCTGGTTGTACATAGACATTGAAAGAAATTTAACAATTCAGCTCTCTAAATATTAAGGTTCAAAACCCACCATGAAGAGGAAATGCGTACGATACAACCTTTTTCCTTATAAGTATACCGCGGCGAAGTCGACAACCTCCAGGCGGAAATTTATTGTAGTTGTTCAAAAATTTCCTCTTTTTAGAAAACCCGGCACGGCAATTTAGGAATAAGTTATAGCGTGTCCTATATGATAATCCATTGGTTGAGGACGAAAATCACGCTTATCAAGAGAGCACTACAAAAGAAAGTTCAGCCCTGTGTTAATTATTATTACAGTCATAGCAATACTTGCGATACGTCACGGCTAAATCGTTGGACATCGCCTTAGTCTTCACGGGCCCAACAATTCGTGAACGCTACGCCTATGTGCAAGGACATCGCCTTAACGTGTCGGTGCTATCTCTGTGACTATGTGTCATAACAGAAGCGTTCGGAAGAAAATAGAGAATTCGCCATTTAGTTTCAAGGAGGTTTGTGTATTTTACAGCGATAGCCGTTATGGGCTCTTCCTACCACTGGAAATGTCATCCGTTGCTAATTCTGTAGTAGTTGTTGCTGTAGTTATAATTAATGGTGTTGATAGAGCTGGCGATGCGGGGCGTCCGTCGTCGCTGTCGCCAAAGTCTTGAAAACGATCGCCCGTCGTCCGTTGGAATCGAGAACGGGTCCACTGCATGTGAAGCGGGCCCGCTGCCGGCTTATAGACAATTGCCTGCAAAGTGTCTGGACGCCGACATGCTTTTGCTCGTGCGAACAAGCTGTGCAAGTGGAAGCTTGGCAACGATATATATTCACGCGCAAGTTGCACGCGCTTGCATGAATGAGAAATTAGTCAGGGCACCATGCTCTAAATTATCTCTAGAATAGGCGCTTGCCGCTTACAGCGACAATACGGCTAACACACGAAATTAATAATGTGAAAATGATGAGCTCATAATTCATTTGCGCTTAACAAACACTTTTTGTTGTTTGCGTCACCAATTATTGGTACGATAAAACCAAATTTACCCGTTTTTGAAAAATCAATAAACGTTTAAAGTCAAGACCGATTCAATACGCTTTTGTATTTCTCTTTTTCACGAAATGTTTTCGGTAGGATGCTGCACATAAAGCCCGCTGTACAAGGCACACGCGGTCAGACGTGCTGTATTCTGGCACGTGGCTCGACTCAAGCGTTTTGCTTTTGAGCCTCTTGGCAAGCTGCGAGTCAGCGCTTGTCCATGTCTTACAACAAACTTGAGTCTCACCGTAGAGCGGTAAACCGGAACCCACTGCCAGAAGCTGAAACGGCACCCGACCCCCCCCCCCCCCCCCACCCACCCCCCGGTTGCCGCCATTTTGCCTGTTTGCCATATTAGTGATCACGTGACGTTAAAATGACTGCGCCCAGAGGTGGGCCAGATCAATTGGCCAGATGGCGGTCAGCAGATGAGCAGATGGGCTTTGGGAGGGCTAAGACGGCATTTCCTTATGAGCTACTTAGAAAGCTGGTTGACGCTGTGGCGTACGTCTGTGGTAACGCCTCCCCTTCGCGCGCAGCGGATCAGGTTCGATAATTTCGGAAGGCGGGCGACCTTCATCGCGGAGTTGGCAACATCGACGACAGACACCCTACTACGTAAACTACAGCAAAGACAACATCAGCAACTGCTGTCATTTCTAGTGGTGGGAAGAGCCCATTAACAGCTATTGCTGTAAACAGTTCTCATAAGTGCGATTCTCTGGGTTTGAAGCATTCGGTACTCCAGGTTGATGTTTAAAAACAAATGCCTCCGACTTTCATAAAAATACCAACAATTTATAAGACGTTTCGTCTCCTATGCGAAAGACATCATCAGTGCGGCCTAGGAACACCCGACCAGCTATCAGCAATCCAGGATTGCTGGTAGCTTAATTAAGCTAACCCTTCAACAAATATAGTTTGGAGACGTCAATCCGATGAAGCTCCATTATGCATGTGTGAAAGAGGTCGCTCAACAATGAAATAAATAACTTAAATTATATCCTCTTCTGCATGTTTAGGATTTAAAGTTTGAACACCTTTTACGAGTGTCACGTGGGGCCCTTAATATATAGGAACAAAAAAAAACTATATTTTTATAGACTTACTGTTTCTAAAAATTGTGGGCTCAGTTTTGTATATAAAGTATTTTGAAATCAGAAAACCGAAGAGCTGTTCGCAGAAAGAGCCTCTAGAAAGCTTCTGTGTTTACTTCTTGGAAGCGCGATTATTTGGAAACAAGTATGAAACAGAATGACCAGCCGAATGCAGCTAACGGAGTTCCCGGTTGGGCTGATAGGGGCGCTGCGTCCCTGGCTTCTCTCTCGCACGTCCACCCAAAGAGGAGATTCGTAGTTCTACCCAACCGACTCTGACCAGACTGTTGGGCTCATATTCGCCGCTGTGATCTTGAGCGCTGGCGACGTGTATATGATCTTCGCTACCGAAAGTGAAGCACTCTGGGCTTTTCCGACCAATCAGTAGGACCGAGAAGAAACAGCTGGATTTTACGGCAGTACTAGCAGTACGGTGCAACGCTGCTGCGCGCTTATAATAATTAGAGACATACGTCTCTAATTTGACAGAGATTCTGCCGAGCGTGTTGCGTGCCTCATGACGGCGTATTACGGAGTCTACAGCGCGGACGGCATATTACGGAGTCTACAGCGCGGCGAAATGGTGTAACAATTCTTCAATTGTAGTCAGAGTGCTCATTCTTCCGGTTTCTAATAGACGACAGGTGAGCCTCTATATCAAATTTTTTTTGTCAGCGTTCGAAACTTGATCTTTCCATTAGAGCATCGAAATGGATTGCGTATGCAAATCGCCAGGACTTTGGAAGCCTGCCCGGCTTGCCGACGAGCAAGCTGCGCCAGCGTCGTTTGTGCAGCGAGCACTTCGGCGCTACCGCCTTTGCAAGCTGTAGGAAGATTTGTTTGTGGAAAAACGCGTGCCCCACCGTTCTTGTTACGAATCCGTTGCTGCAAGGACTTGCTTCTCCAGGTGAGTTGCTGTCAGAGCAATCTTCAGTTAATTTGACAGCTTCGTGTTTATATCTTAGAATAGAGTACCAAAAAGCACCTACAGTCAGAGATATAGTAACTCAAAATCAGTAGTTCGTTTCTATCTTCCTTAATTGCATTGCCTATTAGCGAGTTTGTTTATGGTTTATTTATCGTTTACTCTTATGCAGCTCGCCTGCAAGCCTTTTGCTTTATTTCGGTGTTGATTTGTTTGTTTGGGTAGTCAGAATTTTTGTTTGTGGGAGTTGTTTACAGAGCCATTTAGGTAATTCGATGATAAGTGTTTTTCTCTTAGTTTGTACATTAAAGTAATTAATTTCGTTTTACATATTTGACAACTTTTACTGCGTTTACTGCCTACTGCAGTTCTAGGTTCCTTTTGGAGGGCGGTGGACTGCCAACGGAGATTGTAGATACGTGTTTGAAATACCGCAACTCATTTCAATGGTGTTCAATAAAAAAATGCATATAACTGAACGTGCTCCTCCTGTTTTATTGCACTGGTAATATCACGCGAAGCGCAGTTGTGAAGCATATCGCGCGCGGCTCGTCTGCTAGATCGGTGCCATGCTGGCCGCTGGCAGCGGCCGGCGCGACACCAGCCTAGCAAAGAACCATAAAAAAAAAGGGGGGGGGGGGGAGGGGAGGGGGAAGAGGAGGAGGCGAGGAGGGCGCACGCCAACGACACTGGTGGCGTCATCTGGTGGTCTTTCGAGAGAAATTTTCGTCTCCGACCGTACGTGTGTTCGCCTTTCTGCCACTAGTGCCATGTGGCGCCAGTTTCTCCTTACCACGGTGGAGGCTACAGCTGCACTCGGCTGGCATGACCTTCAGCTAAAGTCAGCGGCAAGTTGAGATAATTGTTTTTTTTTTGTACTTTTTCTTTTAGCTTGAGATTTTATACTCATACAAAAGCATTGTTAGCGGTGACCTTTCACGATTAGCAACACTAAAAGTTTCTTCTGTGAGCTGACCTTTCTAGAGCGTTTTTAAGCACGCATTTCCTGCTAATATAAAGGTTTTCGATTTTGAAGTTCATGCTTTAGATTTCTGGTAATATATATTGCTCAGTGAAAGTGCCATTTCAAGTCAATTAAAAAGACTACAATAATTATGTAAAACAAATTACAAAGCGTGAATAGAAACAAAGTAAAAAAAATCGCAGGGACACTTATGCACTTAAATATTGCCCACATATGCTATGGGGAACATTTAGGCCATTTCGTATGTTTGGGTATTTTAAAAGAAAACCTGTGACTTTTCGAAATAGCCTCGTTGCACTGGAGCGTCTCATCTTAAAGGGGCACTGACACATCAAAATCGTAATTCATTTTATTATCCGAAACGATTGAAAATGATGCCGGGACATTACCCTCAAAATTCGAAACTTGGGAATTCACTATTTGTGAATGAAAAAAAACAATTTCCGAATGCCAAATTTGAAGTTCCCGCGCGATCCGCGCCAGCGCAGTGAGTCAAATTTTGCGGTCTCCTGCGACTCGACTTTCTTTCGGACCTCCGCACTACGCTGTGAAGCAAAGCGCCGTTGCTACCGCGACCCGAAGAGAGGAGGAGGTGAGCAGGCGGGATAGAAGGGAGCCGGCTCGGGGGAAAAACTGGTTTTCCCCCGACTCGGTGATAAGCCTCTGCTCGAGCGCCGCCAAGGTTTCCGAGGGAGAACACAAATTCAGGAAGCGACATCA